TGAAAGGATGGAAAAAGATACTCCAAGCTAACAGAAATCAAAAAAGAGCTAGTGTGGCCACCCTAATATCAGACAAAATAGACTTTAACATAAAAACCGTTAAAAGAGACAGAGAAGGCCTCTATATAATGATTAAAGGATCTATCGAACAGGAAGACATTACTATTATAAATGTATACACACCTATTACAGGGTGCCTGGCTACTTGAAAGAATTACTAAAGGATTTAAAGGGAGATATAGATTCAAATACAATAGTAACAGGGGACTTCAACACTCCATTCTCACCAATGAACAGATCAACCAGACAGAAATTCAACAAGGAAACAACAGAGCTAATTGACACTATTGACCAAACAGACCTAATAGATATCTTCAGAACTTTCCACCCCATAGCCACAGAGTTCATGTATTTCTCCCCAGTACATGGAACATTCTCTAGGATCGACCATATACTAGGCCATAAAGGGAGACTCAACAAATTCAAAAAAATTGAAACTATACCATGCAGCTTCTCAGACCATAGCACAGTGAAACTCGAAATCAACAACCCAAGAATCTCTACACCATATGCAAACATATGGAGAATGGACAACATGATCCTGAATGAACAGTGGGTTATCAAAGAAATTAAAAGAGAAATCAAAAGATTTCTAGAAACAAATGAAAATGATAACACAAGCTATCAAAACCTGTGGGACACAGCAAAAGCAGTGCTAAGAGGAAAGTTTATAGCAATTGGTACCTACATCAAGAAGCTGGAAAGGAACCAAAGAAATGAATTCTCCATGCACCTCAAGGATTTAGAAAAACAGCAGCAAATCAAGCTCAAACCCAGCAGGAGGAAAGAAATACTAAAGCGAAGAGAAGAAATAAATAGAATTGAAACAAACAAACGAAAAAACAATACAAAAGATCAACAAAACCAGGAGCTGGTTCTTTGAAAAATGAACAAAATTGACACACCATTGGCCCAACTAACCAAAAAAAGGAGAGAGAAGATCCAAATCTGTAAAATCAAAGATAGTAATGGAAATGTAACAACAGACACAACAGAAATAAAAAGAATCATCAGAAACCACTACAAAGAGATGTATGCTAACAAATTGGGGAGCCTTGAATAAATGGATAGATTCCTGGACACATAGAACCTTCCTATACTGAGCCATGAAGATATAGAAAATCTAAACAGACCCATAACCATGGAAGAAATTGAATCAGTAGTAAACGCACTACCGAAAAAGAAGCGCCCAGGACCAGATGGCTTCACCGCTGAATTCTACCAAACATTTAAAGAACAAGTAACCCCAGTTATTCTCAAATTATTCAAAACAATTGAAAGGGAGGGAATCCTCCCAAACTCTTTCTATGAAGCCAATATCACCTTAATTCCTAAGCCCGGAAGAGACACAACAGAGAAAGAAAACTACAGACCTATCTCCCTGATGAACATAGATGCAAAAATACTCAACAAAATTCTGGCAAACTGAATTCAACTGCACATCGGAAAGATCATTCACCCAGACCAAGTGGGATTTATCCCTGGTATGCAGGAATGGTTCAATATTCTAAAGTCAATCAATGTAATACATCACATTAATAAATTGAGAAACAAAAATCATATGGTTATCTCAATAGATGCAGAGAAAGCATTTGACAAAATACAACACCCTTTCATGATGAAAACCCTAAGCAAATTGGGGTTAGAAGGAACATTCCTCAACACAATTAAGGCAATTTATGACAAATCAATGGCCACCATCATATTGAATGGGGAAAAGTTGGAGGCATTTCCATTGAAAACTGGCACCAGACAGGGATGCCCACTCTCACCATTGCTATTCAATATAGTCCTAGAAGTTTTAGTCAGGGCCACCAGGCAAGAAAAAGAAATTAAAGGGATACAAATGGGAAAGGAGGAAGTTAAACTATCCCTATTTGCAGATGACATGATACTATATATAGGCGACCCAATAAATTCCTATAAGAGACTATTGGAACTCATAGAAGAGTTTGGTAAAGTAGCAGGATACAAAGTCAATGCTCAGAAATCAACAGCCTTTGTATACACAGATAATGCCGTGGCCAAGGAAGAACTTCTAAGATCAATCCCATTCACAATAGCCACAAAAACAATAAAGTACCTTGGAATAAATTTAACCAAGGATGCCAAAGACCTCTATGATGAAACTACAAAACACTAAAGAAAGAAATAGAAGATGACACAAAAAAATGGAAAAACCTGCCATGCTCATGGATTGGAAGAATCAATATCATCTAAATGTCCATTCTCCCAAAAGCAATTTACAAGTTTAATGCAATACCAATCAAAATACCAAAGTCATTCTTCAAAGACTAGAAAAAACGGTGCTGCAATTCATATGGAGAAACAGGAGACCCAGAATAGCTAAAGCAATCCTTTATAATAAAAACAAAACTGGAGGCATCACAATTTCAGACTTCAAGACATACTACAGGGCAGTTATAACCAAAACAGCCTGGTACTGGTACAAAAACAGATGGATAGACCAATGGAACAGAATAGAAACACCGGAGATCGATCCAAACATCTATAACCAACTCATATTCGACAAAGGACCTAAAACCAACCCCTGGAACAAGGACAGCCTCTTCAACAAATGGTGCTTGGAAAACTGGATGTCCACATGTCTAAGTATGAAGTAAGACCCCTAGCTTACACCTTATACAAAAATCCACTCAATATGGATCAAAGAACTAGAGATGCACCACGACACCATGAAACTAATTGAGAGCATAGGGGAAACCCTTCAAGATATTGGAACAGGCAAAGAATTCCTGGAGAAGACCCCAGAGGCACGGGTAATCAAAGATAAAATAAACAAATGGGATTACCTCAAATTGAAGAGTTTCTTTACAGAAAAGGAAACAGGAAAGTAAAGAGGCAACTGACTGAATGGGAGATGTTATTCTCAAACTACACAACAGATAAAGGATTAACAATTAGAATCTATAAATTGATCAAGAAACACCACAGAATCAAAACAAACAACCCAATAAAAAGATGGGCCAAGGACCTTAACAGACATTTTTCAAAAGAGGAAATCCAAATGGCCAAAAAACACATGAAAAAATGCTCAGGATCCCTAGCCATCAGGGAAATGCAAATCAAAACCACAATGAGGTTTCACCTCACTCTGGTTAGAATGGCTCACATACAGAAATCAACCAACAACAGATGCTGGCAAGGATGTGGGGAAAAAGGGACACTAATTCACTATTGGTGGGAATGCAAACTGGTAAAGCCACTACGGAAGACAGTTTGGAGAGTCCTCAGAAACCTGAATGTAGCACTACCACAGGACCCAGCCATCCCACTCCTTGGAATTTACCCAAATGGAATTAAAGGGGAGAAAAAAAGATCCATTTGCATTTCAATATTTGTTGCAGCTCAATTCACAATAGCTAAGACCTGGAATCAACCTAAATGTCCATCAACGGATGACTGGATAAAGAAACTATGGGATATGTACTCTATGGAATACTATACAGCAGTAAAAAACAATGAAATCTGGGCATTTACAACAAAATGGAGGAAGCTGGAAAACATCATGCTGAGTGAAATAAGCCAGTCCAAAAGGGACAAATATCATATGTTCTCCCTGATCAATGGCAACTAAACAAGCATCTAAAATATACCCACTGAAGTGAAATCGACACTATCAGAGACAATGACATGATCAGCCCTTGTCTAGACTGTTGAGGAACAACTTACTATTTTATTCCTTTTAGTATTTTGTTGTTGTTGTTGTTGCTCTGTTTGTTCTACTTAATACCACTGGTTGAACTCTGTAATCAATACACAATCATTCTTAGGCGTTGAAAAATTAACAGAAAAGTGATCTCTGTTAAACATAGGAGTAGGAATAAGAGAGAGAGGAGATATATAGCTTGGCACAGGCTCACTAGGACTTACCTCCAATGGTGGAACTAGAAATGTGCCAGGGGATTTCAACTCAATCTCATCAAGGAGACATGTACCAATGCCAGTGCACTTGGTAAAGTGATAAGTATAAGTACACAACCGTTCAAAAAAAGATAGGGTAAGTGTTGAAGAGATTTTACAAACAAGACCAGTATAAGTAAATAATGAAGGATTGAATTAAAAGGGAGAGAATGATCCTGCGGGGGAGGCAGGAAATACAGCAGACTCATAGAATGGTAAATGCCCAAAACAGCACTCCGGCCTCAGAATCAACTCTTGAGGCATTCGGGTCTGGCTAAAAGGTCCATAAGAGTTTCACAGGCATGGAAAGCCATGACACAGTGGCAAAAACAATCTAAATGAAAGATCCTGGTGAACAAGACCCCAGCAGAAGGAACAGGCCATCAAGGAGAGAGGCACCTTTCTCTGAAGGGAGGAAGGAACCTCCACTGTGATACAGCCTTGACTAAACAAGTTCAGAGTTGGTGAACTCAAGGGGCTTCCATAGCCTAGACAGCTCATGGCAAGAGCCTTGGGTGATTGCTGACGCCATAAATAACAGTGCCAATTGTTAAATCAACAACGGGAATCACTGGGTACAGGCTCCCCATGTAGGATCTCTGTCCTTAATGTGTTCTACTATGAAACTTAAACACAACACTACTAGTCAAACAATACCCTATACCTTGTGTGGTTGTGTGAGTGCAGCCTGTTGAAATCCTTGCTTAGTAAATACTAAGTTGATCTTCAGTATATGAAGGTAATTGAAAATGAAACTCGATGAAGGGTGGGATGGGAGAGGGAGTGGGAGAGGGGAGGGCCACGGGAGGGAGGGAGGTTGTGGGGGGAAGCCACAACATTACAAAAGTTGTACTTTGTAAATTCACATTTATTAAATAAAAAAAGAAAAAAGAAAAAAAAAGAACTAAATGGGACTCTGTCCTAGGAACTCTGGTAAAAATAAGGGATTTGGATGTTGGAAGTGGTATCTTAACTCCTAGGCAAAATGCCCACAACTGTTTCTTCTCTTCTCCTAGATATATTTCAAGGAAGAATGGCCTCAGGAAATGAGTCTTCAGTGACCCAGTTTATCCTGCTGGGATTAACTCAACGGCTGGAACTGCAGCTGCCTCTCTTCTTCCTCTTCCTGGGAATCTATGTGGTCACTGTGGTGGGGAACCTGGGCTTGATTGTTCTGATTGGTCTGAACCCTCATGTACTACTTCCTCTGCAACCTGTCCTTCATTGATCTCTGCTACTCCTGTGTCATAACCCCCAGAATTCTGGAGAGTTTTGTGAAACAGAACATCATCTCCTATGCTGAGTGCATGGCTCAGCTCTTTTTCTTCTCTTTCTTTGTAATTGATGAGTGCTGTATGTTGACATCGATGGCCTATGATAGATATGTAGCCATCTGTAAGCCCCTGCTGTACAAGATCACCATGTCTCCTCAGGTCTGCCTCATGCTGACGGTGTGTGCATATGTCATGGGTTTTGTGGGTGCCATGGCTCACACTGGATGCATGCTGAGACTCAACTTCTGTGATGGCAACATCATCAATCATTACTTGTGTGACATCCCTCCTCTCCTCCAGCTCTCCTGCACAAGCACTTTTATCAATGAATTGGTTATTTTTATTGTGGTGGGCATCAACATAACAGTGCCCAGTCTTACTCTCTTCATTTATTATACTCAGATCCTCTCCAGCATTTTGTGCATCCATTCTACCAATGCCAGGTCAAAAGCTTTGAGAACCTGCAGCTCCCACATAATCACTGTTTGTCTTTTCTTTGGATCTGCATCTTTTATGTATTTTAAGCCTTTTCCTGCTTGGTCTTTGGCTCAAGATAAAGTATCCATTATTTTTTACGCCATTGTGGGCCAATGATGAATCCTTTCATCTATAGTCTGAGAAACAAAGATGTTCATGTTGCATTGAGTAAGACTTTGAAGAATAGCATACTTTCCTGACTTGGAGCAGTCTCTGTTATAGATGCCAATTCCTAGTAAAAAGCACATGATATGTAAATCCATGGAAAGAAGGGTAAGAAATCAAGATCAAATGGTAATATTTGGAAAAGAGGTAAATTAATTTAATTACATAGATCACTTCATGAGTCAAGACAATGGATGCAAGTGGAGTATCAGACCTTCAACATTTCAGAGAGCCTGGAGAACTTTTCATTCTGTTATTCTCAGGAAAAAATGTAGTAATGATATTACTGTAAGAGGAAAAAGTTGAATGATGTTAACTCCATAAATGGTAAGACTGAATTTTTAGACTCTGACACATCTAGGATTTCTGTGCAACTTTGTCATGGAGATATTAACTTCTGTGAATCTAGATTCATTCACTTATTCATAAGTTGAACAACATTCTGTGTAATGTTTTGGAGGCTTTTGTCTTGGGAGATTGCTTTGTTTCCATTAAGGGAGAAGTGTGATACTCTTCACACTCTGGTCTCTGGTCCACTTTCATTGTCATCTCAAGGGATGGTAAGACTTGGAAGGTTTCTGTCTTGTTCTGGTTAAAGATAGGAAGCAAAAATGATCTTTTAGAATATCTAGATAAAGAAGACCTCCACTGTGTTTAAACACTTGGACTTCAGGGCAGGTGGTTACTGGAACATGCTATGAGTTCATTGGGAATAATTTTACTATAAATATTTACTAACTGTTAGTGCAGAAATTTTTCCTCTCTCCAAACAGATTTTAAAATCTTAAACCATTATCTGTCAGCAATTTCTCTTTATTATCTTCATTTTCCCTTTTATGGAGGAGACTTACATGGTATAAATAATGACATGTTCATCAGCAGATATTAGCTGAGCATCTGCGTTGTAACAGGTTGTTTTTAAAATTCAAAGATCTAGTAGTGAAGATCACAAAACATCTATGCTCTCAGAGGGCTAACTGTTTATAGCAAGGTAGAATAGGTTGCAGGTGTTCAGAAGGAGACATGATGAGTGAGCAGATACCTGCGAACATATCATGGAAATGTTATGCAGAATGATATATTAAGGTAATGATACAGAGAGTACCCGTGAGTTGTACTTTAGATGGGGTCATCAGGCCTTCCTGGTGAAGTGAGATTCTTGTCAGCAGCTCATAGTGGTATTTTTTTTTCTTTTTCTTTAAAAAATCCATCTAGTCACTCTAGGTTATTTTTATTTATTAAAAAGGCCAAGAATAAAGTAGAAGAAAATATTTGTGGCTAACATCTTATAAAGTTTACACTCAGAATACCTAAAGTAATACCCAAATTCAATAATAGGAAAGCAAACAACTTAAATAAAAATGTACAAAATTTGAGAAGTTACTTCATAAGAGTCAAGTGGATGGTAAATTGCTTGAAAAAAATGCTCCATGTTATTAGTCATTAGGGAAATAAATATTAGGGCAATAAAATTTACTCCCCAAATGTCTGCAATAGCCAGAAGCCTGGAATTCAATCTGAGTCTCCCATGTAGGTTACAATGACTCAAGTACTGTGCCATCACTGCTATCTTCCATTGTATGCCATAGTACAAAGCTGGAATTGCAATAAAATGCTTGCTGTTCACTATTCAGTCTTTTCTGATTTGCTTTTCAATTCTTTCTTGAGGCAAAGTCAAGGACCTGGGTGCTGGGCAGCTCTCACTGTCTGGCACCATCTTCCAGGGCAAGCCATCCAAAAGGCTACAGTCAACTAAGAGACAATGGAGCCTAATCCAGCTAAATTTGAGACACCCACACCTCATTCAATCCTCTCTCATGAATTGGCCTGACTGCCTGACTACTGATGACTACTATCTTTTTTCCTTCTCTTTTATGGTACTCAGTGGGGCCCCAAATCTTTCACTGTGGGTGCTAGATTCTGGGAGGGTTCTCCAAAGGCTGGAATTATACTCTAGACAGATACTCTAGGACACTTGAGTAGATCTGATTTTTCAGTGACTTCCTTTAGAGCTATAATCTCATTCCCATCCAGGAACCTTAGCTGCCTTATATCCTAGGGTGGTGAGAGTGCATACTCTACACTGTACTGATTAAAGCAATCCTAGTCAAAGCCTAATGTCAATCTTGGATGCACTAGTAGGGCACATGCCCATGCTGTGCAGGTTGACTAGGATCTATCTCTTTTTCATTTGTTCCTCCTTGTTCAGGTCATGGCTATATCTGACTGTCAGTCCTGGCTTATATGAATCTTTCTGCTTTCTTCACTCTGTTCCTCTCCCTAGTTTCCAAACCACTGTTGCCTCTGTAAGGATGATCAAATGGCTCTATACTTATCCAATGACTTCAGGCAGGACTTTCTTCCTCTTTCCTCCTTTGGGGCCCTCAAATGCATTCTCCACTACACTGGGGAGGGCCACTTAATTGGAAACTCTAAGGAAACTTCTATTCTTTCATATTTCTACCACTTCCAAAATCTTTGGAAACATAACTGCCCCTTGCTCAGTCTTCTTACTCTTTTTACCTCTGAGAAACTCTTAAGAAGGGCATAGAAAACTCCAGACACATAAACTGCAGCCCTCACTCCTGGGGATAAATTACAATTATTGAAACAGCAGCAGCTTTTCCACAATCCATTTCTCTATCACTTCTTTGATTTGCCTCTTAAGCCTGAGCAAATATTTCAGGCTGTAGATATTGCAAATCACTATTGCCCAATCACTTCTCTATGCTATTTTCTATTAGGAATTTTTCTTTGAAGTTGTCCTCCACAAATACCATCCTCTCGTCTTCTGTCTCTTTAAACATGCTTTCTGTGTTGTGGCTTTGGGTGCCACTTTTCAATACCCCCTCTTGCACCTATCTAGAGTTTAGGAATAAGTGCTATGCACTTCTTTGTAGTCTTCGCAGGAACTGACAATACTATTGTTGTTGATTCTTTAAGAAAGAGAGGTACCTGTGGCAGAGGATATAAAGCAACTGAGACTACATCAAAGAGAAAATAAACCTAGCATCAAGTAAGAGATAGAACCAAAAACAGAGAACTCTATCCCTAGGGACTCCACATTAGGGTGCATCTTGGCTGAATGGGACAAATTTAAATTGGAAAGTCTAAAGAAAAAGAGGCTCCTTTTTCAATAACAGTAGCCTGGCCTGGATGCAAGCTGGAGGACCAGGAATACTTGCCCAATAAATGAGTGCACTAGCTATAATACTATTCTCCAATTGGATCAGTTTTGTAAGAGAGGAGGGAAATGGGCAGAGCTTCCAAATAAGCCTTTATGGCCCTATATCAGGATCCTGACCCAAACAAGCATGTAGGGTTTGTCTGGCTCCCATCAAGTTTCCCCTTTTTAAGCAGGAGCCTGATTAGTTAGATAATTCTTTACCATGTGCTCCTCCAATGAGGTCCACTTACTTTCCCATTTCTTCTTCACCCTGACCTCTAGAGCAGGAGGATCCTATACTTCTTCTTTCCTGGGTTGTTTCCTCATTCAACTGGGTACTCTTTTTTCTTCTCCTTTTAGAGGTCTTTTCCACCCCTACCTTCAGTACCCTCCAGTCAGGATGATGAGAGTCCTAAGTCCAGCAAATACTTGCAGTGAGCCATGATATAAAAAGTCTGAAAGAAACCTCCTCCCTCTGAGAGAGGTCTCCAATGCGGACAGAGATAACATCAAGGCCCACATTCTTTCTCTATGTCTTATATCTCCTTAAGCAAGGAAAAGCCTGTATGATTTTTTGAGAACCAATAAAAAATCATGCAAGAATTTACTTGAGTTACTATGACTTACAACCTGACTTGGCAAGACAGAGAGGTCCTACTGTCTATGAGTTAAAACACACAGTGGAGGAAAAGTGAAGGGTAGCTGTTGGGGCTGCCTAAGGTCAAGTGAAATAGGGCAGCACCCAGGTGGGATTCATGGCCCTCCCCATAACTGTTCCTGGTTGAAATTACCAGATGGGATCTCCTTATCTGGACAATAGGAATTACTTCATAACTTACCTCTTAGTGGGAATGAAAAAAAGGTGTAGTAAAACCAATAAACTACAGGGAGTATTGGTTGAAGACTTTAGAAACTACAATAATGACATGTAATTATGCCAGGATGGTCAAGTACTGGGCACTCACTTCACTAGTGAGTCCACACCTGATAATAGGTGAAAATTACAAAATGGCCAGACCATGGATCTGAGCCCTAATGGTCTTTAGATAGCACTAAATCAAATGGTAAACACAGTGCTTGGAGATAAGGTAGGACTGAAATGGGACTGAGGAGGAAAACTGGGATCACAGGAGGAGAGATGCAAGGCCAGACTTCTTATGGTACACAGCTTAACTGTCACCCAGGAGACACCCAGGCCAAGAGAAGTTTGGAGGCATGGGATCTGGGCAATAGGTATTAGAGCCACCATTCTCTGGTACCAAATATTAGCATTGTAAGGTAGAGGGCCATTGGATAAAGAACTATCCTTGCTTGCATGGAAGAGGGAAGCTTCCTGGGCCTTGCCGTCTGTGCCAACAGGAAGGGCACTAGAGATGAGATTGCCTGGAGTCCTGAATATGGCATGGATCGGCCTGTACCTTGTGGCGGAGACTGCTGAGGACTCAAGAGGCCCAAAGACACCCACTGGCTTCAGTGGAATATTTGACCTTCCCTGCTGAGGTGCCTAAAGTGATCCTTGACATGACAGGTTGATGATTGAAATCTTATTAGACATGGGAGTGGCTTGCTCTGTCCTAGTTGACTTCTCTGGACCCTTGACATGTCAGTCTTGCACCAATACTGGAGTAGATGGGAAGAAAAGGCCAAAAAAGTTACTTCTCTCTATAGCTGTGCAATGGGATACTTGACAGTTTCTCATAGTTTACTCATAGAATCAGAATGCCCAATATCCCTCTTAGGGAGACATCTATTGAGTAAATAAGGAACCATTATCCAGATGATCTCCTCATCTGTAATCCTATTAGAAAACTGATGAAAATGCCATAAGGATGTTAAATTTCCTGGGAGAACATGGCTGTTGCTTTTTCTGTGAAAATCCAAATCTTATCACAAGAGATAAAATATCCAGGACATACAATTGCTCCCTGAAGATGGGATTTGACAATTGACTACATGGAGGCAATCTCTCAGTGCTGCCACACTTAACAGGTAGGCAACTCAGGACATTGGTAGGAATGACAAGCTTTTGAAGAAAATGTGGATTCCTAGATTTGAGGACATAGTGAAGCTCTTATATGAGCCTTAAATAAACAGAATAGGAGCCCCTGGAATGGACTGGGGGATTCCAGAGAACATTCTAGAACTGAAGTAAAAACTAAAACTGCTCTTGCCCTACAGCTCCCCAGTGTAGAAAAGTCATTTTCTCAGTACATAGAGGAAAGGAAGGGACTAGCCTTAGGTATCCATAGTCAGAAATTGGGGACTTAGCCAGTGGTCCACTGTAAACAGCCAGATTATGTGGCAGCAGGATGTCCAGAATACCTGAGGACTGTAGCTGCTACTGTTACAGTGGTTGAAGCAATATCCAAATCAACTCTTTTTTTTTTGACAGGCAGAGTGGACAGTGAGAGAGAGAGACAGAGAGAAAGGTCTTCCTTTGCTGTTGGTTCACCCTCCAGTGGCCGCCGCGGCCAGCGCGCTGTGGCCGGTGCACCGAACTGATCCGATGGCAGGAGCCAGGTACTTATCCTGGTCTCCCATGGGGTGCAGGGCCCAAGCACTTGGGCTATCCTCCACTGCACTCCCGGGCCACAGCAGAGAGCTGGCCTGGAAGAGGGGCAACCGGGACAGAATCTGGTGCCCCAACCGGGACTAGAACCCAGTGTGCCGGTGCCACAAGGTGGAGGATTAGCCTAGTGAGCCGCGGCGCCAGCCCCAAATCAACTCTTGAGGAACTATCCCTCATCAAATACAGGGGGTCCTTGATGCTAAATGTTATCAATGGCTAACTAGAGGTTAACTCTTTTTCTCTTAAGATTTATTTGTTTATGCATTTGAAAGGAAGAGTGACAAAGGGGGGAGGGAAGGACATACACACACACAAACACACAGAGCACTTCTACCCACTGGTTTATTTTCCAAATGGCTGCAACAGCCTGGTCAAATTGAGGAACCAGGAACTCCATCTGGGTCTCTCACATGGGTGGCAGGGACCCAAGATTTTGGGCCATCTCCTGCTGCTTTCCCAGTTGCATTATTAGGAAGCTGGAGTTAGAAATGTGTCAGGGGATTCCAATTCAATCCCATCATGGTGGCATGTACCAATGCCATCTCACTAGTCCAAGTGATCAATTTCAGTTCACAATTGATCATACTACTAGGTCTAAGAGTCAAAGGGATCACATAAACAAGACTAGTGTCTGCTAATACTAACTAATAGAATAAAAAAGGGAGAGAACAATCCAACATGGGAAGCGGGATACACAGCAGACTCATAGAATGGCAGATGTCCTAAACAGCACTCTGGCCTCAGAATCAGCCCTTAAGGCTTTCGGATCTGTCTTGGCATGGAAAGTCAAGACACTGGCAAACAAAACAAAACAAAACAAAAAAAAAAAGGAAAAAAACCTAAATAAAAGATCTCTGCAAGTGAGATCCCAGTGGAAAGAATGGACCATCAAAGAAGGAGGTACCTTTCTTTGAAGGGAGGAGAGAACTTCCACTTTGACTATGACCTTGTCTAAAAAAGATTGAAGTCGGCAAACTCAAAAGGCTTCCATAGCCTTGGCAGCTCATGACAAGAGCCTAGGGTGATTACTGAGGCCCTAAACAAGAGTGTCAATTGTTAAGTCAACAACAGGAGTCACTGTGCACTTACTCCTCATGTAGGATCTCTGTCCTTAATGTGTTGTGCAATGTGAATTAATGCTATAACTAGTACTCAAACAATACTTTACACTTTGTGTTTCTGTGTGGGTGCAAACTGATGAAATCTTTACTTAATATATACTAAACTGATCTTTGTATATAAAGAGGATTGAAAATGAATCTTGATGTGAATGGAATGGGAGAGGGAGTGGAAGATGGGAGCATTGTGGGTGGGAGGTAAATTATGGGGTGGGGAGGAAGCCATTGTAATCCATAAGCTGTACTTTGGAAATTTTTATTGTTAAATAAAAGGTAAAAAAAAAAGTGGAGAAACTAGGACTCTGACACCCTGATTTGGATACTGACATCCAAATCAGAGACTTAATAAGCTGCACACAATACTGTCTTCTTGAGGTCAATTCTTAAGCTATCAGGCCATGTTGTAGGACTCCCCTGAGTCCTCAAATCCTCAAAACCTGTCAAACCTTAACTCCAGTCAACATTTTGCCTGAAACAGATGGTAGGGAATTATCACACTCTTGCACAGAAACTATGGAACAGACATACTCTAACAAACCAGGTCTAGAGGATGCGCAATTACTTAATTCTGATGCTGAATGTTTTACTGGTACAAAGAGTTACACATATAAAAATCTGGAAGGACATTGTTAGCCTACAGGATGTTGTAGAGGGAAAAACCCTGCCACCCAATTTCTTTGCCCAAAATGTTGAACTTGCTGCTCGTATTTGGGCTCCACAACCAGTGAAGGGATTGAGATGAAATATGTAGGAGACTCCAAATACACTATTCTAATCTTACACACCCATGGTGCTATCAGGAAGGAAAGAGGTCTGCCTAATGCAAAGAGCTTCCCAACTAAATATCATGATGAAATATTAAAACTACTATAGGCAGTATTGATGCCTGGGGAGATTGTGGTAACTCACTGTCAGAGACATCAAAAGAGGATACTCAGATCATTAAAGGAAATAACTTAGCTGTAGGGCTGCTAAGATGTCAGCCTTCCAGGCCATAGAAACTCAAGCTGTTTTGATGCTTGTCTCAGGAGACTTACCTATAAGTTCACAATACCCTTTAGAAGAGGAGACATGGGCAAATGAAAAGGGACTTAAGAAGGATGCTGGTGGATGATTAAAACATGATGTCAAGAATTTTTTTCCTCAAGCAGGAAATTATTAAATATTTAAATAATGCTCTTCACTTGGGAAGAGATTTCATGACTGCAGTGTGGTACTGTGATTTGTAGGAAAGAAGACCCCAGCAAGACTGTTAAAGAAGCAATGAGGGCTTGTGAACTATGCTTCCAAAATGAGCCAGGTCATCCTCAATTTTTCCTACTTCCACCTGAGCCATGCAACATCAACACACTCATCCAGGGGAAGATCGGCGAGTAGGCTTTACTCAAACACCCTCTACTGGACAGTTTAAGCACTTCTAGGTCTTTATAGATAGCTTCACTGGATGGTTAGAAGCCTTCCCAAGTCACACAGAAAAAGCAAGAGGAGTGGCTGAATTCTTACCAAAACATATTATTCCATGCTTTGGGTTCCCAGGCACCCTGCAGAGCAACAGTCTCCCTTCTTCACTGCTATGATAACTCAGCAAATATATAAAGCCTTAAGAATTACATGCAAGACACATTCTTCCTACAGGCCATAATATCCATGAAAACTAGAAAAGGTAAATCAGTTTTTAAAGTCAACTATGCCAAGAAACCTCAGAAATAGTTAAATCTATTCCCTAATGCCATCTTAAAAATAAGAACAGCTACTAAATCAGTTCTTAAATTCAGTCCTTTTGAAATGTTATATGGAAGACTTTTCTTGTGTGATTTAGATCCCAATTAGACAGTTGATCATGTTATCATTTCATGTTTATTTTAAAAGCAAAGGTGGGACAGGGAACAGTTGGGTTGGATAAGAGAGATACAGAGACACACGGACAGAGATGTCCTGCTTGCTGATTTTTCCCCCAATGCTTGCAACAGTGGGGCTAGTTCAAGCTGAAACCAGGAGCTGGTAACTCAATTCTGGATCTCCTACATGAGAGATAGAGACCCAATTGCTTGGACCATTCAACTGCCTCCAAGGGTGTGCATTAGCAGGAAGCTAGTTTAGAAGTGGAGTTGGGACTTACACTCTGGCAATCTGATAGGAGATGTGGATTTACATAGTAGTTTTCCATGATAAATGTATAAAAATGGAAAAATGTTAGTGGTTTCCATGTATTAAGGGAGAAATGGAGGCAGGAAAGAACTGAGTATAAAAGGGCAACATGAAAATTTCTTGTAATGAAAATACTCTATATTTTGTTTGAACCTATGAAAATAAGCTACAATTTTCTTTAAATTAGAAATACTTTCTGTAGAAATGAGCACCTGATAGTTTATTTTTATTTATAAACAATTCCTTTACATATAGAACTTTGGTCATGACATTAAAATATATTGGCCAGTGGTACTGCATGTTCTAGAAGGTTAATTTAGTTTGACATGATCCTGCAAACCATAAGTCCTCTTAGTTAAACACATTTTTCTTTTCTGCATGATATAGTGTAATATAAAGCTTAAATTACCACTGATTTGGCAAGTTAGAACATATGGGCTTCCATTACCTAAAAGAAGTCAGAAATGAGTGCTTAGTGTTACGATGTATCTCAGTGAAAAAGATGAATCATTTGCCATACTTTGTTATAACTGAGTTACTCTCATGTGGCCATCATGAAAAAAGGAAGGGAGGTTGCAGGCAAGATGGCAGAATAGGAAGGGAGCACACTGATAGTCCGGGGAGAGACAGTTTAATAAAAGTGGAGATACTGCAGGTTCAAGGAAGAGTAGGGGAAGAAACAGCAGAAGAAACTCTTCTGGAACTAGTGATTCACAGTGGACCTGCGTGGAGAGCATGGGAGCCCATAGTTTGGGACACCAGCGGCAGGACTCAACACACCAGTGCTGGAATGCGAGGTGAGCTGAACCGCAATAGCCCGAGACACTGGCAGGCAAGCGGAGAGAGACTAGAGGGAACGACCCCTGGGGGAAAAGTTCACCAGGCTAACTAGAAGAGAGAGAGAGAGAGAAAAAAAGTGACCGATACGGACACGGGTTTCTCTCTCTCTGCTCACCTCTCAAAGGTGAGCAAGACAAAGAGCAGGCGCCATCTTGGACATACGTCATAAGCAGAGCGACCTCAGGTCTGCACCGGCCCTGAGCCTAGCAGAAAAACCTGACTCTGGGAGGGGTGAATTAACAGGAGATTAGGACCTAGTGAATTTGTGGTGCTACTGAACTGAGACTGTGTAAAAAGAGACGGTGGGGAGAGAACTCACAGAATTCATGTGAGTACTCTCCAGAGACGCTACAGTTCTGTAACTTTGGCAACCCAGTGGGAGGCTGAAGGAGACTTTGAGCCCACTCTGAGGGCCGAAAAGATTCCCTGTGTAGCCCTTGGGAAAGAGCTTCTGATCTCTGGCTCCTGTGGGTATATCATTTGCCTGCTAACTACCTCCAACTTCGTTCAGCTGTGCAGAATAACTTCCCTTTTGAATCAAAAAAAGAAAGAAAGAGAGAGAGAGAGATCTACCATGCCTAATCTGGGAGTGTCACCTTTGGCACACCAAACAGAGCTCTCAGGCCACACCCATCTCAAGCCTCTAAGGCTCCATCAAAAACAGTCCACTTAATCTAGAGTCATAGTATAACAAGAAAAAGCACCACAGTGAAGAAACCAAATATCTCCAATATGCCAAATAACAAACGCAAAAAACCGAGGTAATAAAAACAAGGAAGTCACCATGACGCCCCCAAATGAAAAAGACACCCCAATTCAAGATTATGAAGATGATGAGATAGAAGAAATGCAAGAAGCAGATCTCAAAAAATTGATAAGAACATTAAGAAGTTCTCAAAAACAAATTCTTGAACTACAGAAATCCTTAATGGACAAGATAGAAAATCTCTCTCGTGAAAATGAAATATTAAGGAGGAATCAAAATGAAACAAAACAACTAGTACAACAGGAACTGTGATAGTGACGAGAAATCATAATGAAGTGAGGAATTCAATAGATCAAATGACAAACACATTAGAGAGCCTTAAAAACAGAATGGGTGAAGCAGAAGAGAGAATATCGGACTTAAAAGATAGAGAACAGGAAAGGATACAGTCAAACCAAAGAAAAGAAGAGGAAATTAGAAATCTAAAACATATTGTCGGGAATCTTCAGGATACTATTAAAAAAACCAACATTCGAGTTCTAGGAGTTCCTGAAGGCATGGAGAGAGAGAAAGGATTAGAAGGCCTTTTTAGTGAGATATTAGCAGAGAACTTTCCAGGTTTGGAGAAGGACAGAGACATCCTAGTACAGGAAGCCCATAGAACACCTAATAAACACGACCAAAAGAGATCCTCACCAGGACACGTTGTAATTAAACTCTCCACAGTGAAACATAAAGAAAGAAATCCTAAAATGTGCAAGAGAGAAATGTCAGATTACTCTCAGAGGATCTCCAATCAGACTCACTGCTGACTTCTCATCAGAAACCCTACAAGCTAGGAGGGAATGGCGAGATATAGCCCAGGTGCTAAGAGAGAAAAATTGGCAGCCCATAATATTATATCCTGATAAGCTCTCATTTGTGAGTGAAGGTGAAATAAAGACTTTTCATAGCAAACAGAAATTGAAAGTATTTGTCGCCACTCGTCCAGCCATGCAAAAGATGCTTAAAGATGTGTTGCACACAGAAACACAGAAACACGGTCATCAATATGAAAGAAGGTAAAGGAAGGAAACCTCACAGCAAAAGATCACAGGGAATTCAAAGCATATATTAGAACCTATCTTTGGCAAATGGCAGGGCATAGTTACCACTTATCATTAGTCACATTGAACATTAATGGCCTGAACTGTCCAGTTAAAAGACACCGATTGGCTGACTGACTTAAGGAACAAAACCCATCTATTTGCTGCTTACAAGAAACACATCCTTCCAACAAAGATCCATACAGACTGAAAGTGAAAGGCTGGAAAAAGATATACCATGCCAACAGAAATGAAAAAAAGAGCGGGCGTAGTCATCTTAATATCAGACAACATAAACTTTACCACAAAAGCTGTTAAGAGAGACAAAGAGGGACACTAATGATTAAGGGATCAATTCATCAGGAAGATATAACAATTATCAATGTATATGCACCT